CCTACAAGAACATAGAAACACAAGTAAAAGCAAGTAAAGTAAAATATAAAACAGAAACAAAAACTGGCACAGCTCAGCTCTGGGGCCTGCAGCATTTATATTATTCAGATGCATAGAGCCAACTTTGTTCGATCACCAGTAACTAAGGATTTAATTTGGGCTTGAGGCTGATAGGCAAGACTAAATGTTGGCCCCTGGCTGCACTGAGCAAACAAGGTCACTGCAGAGGGTGTGGTGGAGGTGAAAAGACGGAGCTCCTTTGTCATAATGGACGGCAGTGATTACCATCATGCATCTGTGTGTCTGTTTTGTGTTCCTTTTCAAACGGTTACCTACTGAGCTCCTGTTACTCTCCAAACTTTTATTTCCTTCCTTTTTCTGTTTTCCACTCAATGCACCCCCTGCTTCCACCCCTCCTCTATTATCTGTCTCTTTTCAGGACAGTATACATATTGATAAATATATCAATAATAGGCAAGTGTAAACCACTAACCTAAAAACATTTTAAAAGCTTTTTAATATAAGGTAGGAAATGAAATGAACAAGATAGGCTTGTTTAAAATAAAAGCACTGTGTGATGCCTTTAATTTGAAACTCAATACTAATATAATGTTATATTGATTTTACCATATCAAACCCCAGTTTTACAAATCTGTATTTTTATTTGAGTAAATGCAGTTACCACCAGTGACCACAGATGAAATCAACCACAACTAAAATCTTAAAATCTTATTTTTTTTTATATATCTCCCCCAGCTGGGAGCAGCAGAATAAGTAATAAACACTTTGACATTTTATCACCTTATAAAGTTTTATGGTTTTAAATCATTTTCATCCAGCAGGCGCAGACTCAGCAGACACAGAGTAACATTAGCATCATTTAGATTTAATATCGTCGTAGGAAGAATCTGGTTTGTGTTTGTGCCACTTCAGCATGAAATCAACTTTACAGTCAAACTGGGCTGTGATGAATTAACACAAACGGCTGCTGGCAAGGAAGAAGAGGAAGAGGAAGAATCTGTATTATTTTTCATAGTAAATTTTCATATGTAGCTCAATAGCTGTCAACTGCATTAAGTTCATCCAGTTATAACGTATATGAATCTCACAGCTGGAGTTTTTGTCTCCTGCTCATCTGTTGATGCACATCTCCACAGGCAGCTCCCCGATTGGCCGTTGGTGTGACGATGCAGGTGTATGACTCATCCTCTATTCTTAGCCAATGAGGTGACACGGGATGCTGACCTTTCATTGCCTTGGTGACCGCTGTGATGTCACTGCCTCGTCTCCATGCGCAGCAGCTGTCATCATGTGAGAGGAGCGGTGGCATCAGAGCGCAGGGATGGAAAACGCACAGTTTATATATTTGTGTGTGTGAGTCAATGATTCCCTCACAACACTGTCACCGTCACACAGCTCCTCTTCATCGTCACATCTTCTGTCTTCATCAACCCCTCTGCTGAAGATTAACAGGCTTATTCACAGCAGCACTCTCTCATGACTGTGAATACAAAATCATACTTTGACATTAATGACTTCTACGTCCAAGCAGTCGGAAACAAGTCTGCACAAAACCTAACAGGGCTCCCATTAAGTTCTAATCTGAAAATGAACCCCCAACAAACCATCACCAAAAGCACATAATTAATTTGTACTTATGACCTGTTCCGTTTTAAAAAAAATAACTAATACTCATTTGGGATTTGATATTAGGTGAAGCAACTAACTACAGGAGGCAGCAGATGTTCCTACTCACATCCTTTTTTTTATAGATGTTTCTTTGTTCCTACTTTTACTTTATGGCAAATATCCCATATTGTAACGTTTCGATTGCAATATTGTGTTTTATCTTGCCTTGTATCAAACTTTGAAATTGCATTAGTTTAAATCCTGCATTTTAAGGACAGGTCCCACCAGAAACTGTTAAACAGGAGAAAATGACAGAAAGCAAATATATTCAGTTGAAACTGGTGAAAGGATTCTGGACGTAAAAAGTATAAAAATGGAAATTGATGCAAAGAAAAAGCTAAAAAAGACCAAATCTGAAACCTCCTGCACCCATTTCATCCTCTGTGTTTGTGCATTAAGCCCAGACAGGAGCTTGTTGGTGGTTTGTTGGGTGGAGGAATTCATGTATAATAAGTAGTGGACAGGGTGGTGGGATGGAGAGTAGGTAGGTTTCCCATTTTATCTTTACATGTGGCTGGAGATAAAACAGTCTGCACAAACATGTATTCAGACTCGGCAGCTTTTATTCTTCTTCCCTCCTCTGCTCCTCACAAATAAAAAGCCAATGTGTTCCTCCCCTGTTAACGTTTTTTTCTTGTTTCCCCTCTTTCTCTTGTCGAGGGTGGAGTTCAGAAGTTCAGAGTGAGCGATGAGGAGAGGGGGATACACAGGAGGACCGACAGAAACCGAGCTGAATAACGCCAGCACTGTGATAAAAGCCAGTCTTGTCCTTTACATGCCGTTACATCATCTACGCACAACAAGTACAAGTTTAACTCTGTTGTTTATCTACAGGTAGGAGAAATCAACATGTGTGAGGATAATGCGGTTGACAGGAATGACAAAAGTATGTGGACACCGTAACATTGGGATCATCTCATTTTAAAAGAATGGGAATCAATCTGCTGCTGCATCCGCTTCTCTGTTGTCCATCCAGCTGCACCAGGGTGTCCACATACATTTGGCCATTTAGTGTATTTGACCCACTATGCAGACTGTGACTGTGCCACCCTCTAGTGGAGGATGAAACACACTACAAATTAGGACACTAACTTCTATACATGTTCAGTAAATATACCAATATTTAACATATTTCTATCTATTTTATTTGTATAATTTTACTTAACTTATTTATTTTTAATAAAAATGTATCCTTTTTCTTTAGTTTACCTAATTAACCTCTTTCTTTTTTTTAATTGTGCTTTTTGATTTTAAATTTTAATTTTGTCTCTGCAATGTTTTTAGATGCTTTATAAATAAAATGTCTTTGCCTGGCCTAAGAACCTCATTGTATTCATCCTGCTTCTGCCTCTTTTCCAGATGAATGCACTGAAATTGTGCAGCAATATCATAAACTGTATGTTCGACCAGTTTAGCTTAAAGTTTAATATCTTGAACTCATCAGCTTTAAATCGTATGTAGTAGACCCACAATCCCTGAATCCAGAAAGGTCGAAGCTTAAACAAGACAACGACCAAACATCTTTTTGTTTCAGTGCTACAGAGTTGATATCATGAAATCAGCAGTGTTTTATCAAATGTCCCTCTGTGACTGTAGCTGGTGAAGCGTTTGTCTGCTGTGTCACCACTGCATGGTCTTGGATCGCGTCAGTTTCCTGGTCAGAGCGTGGCGAACCGTGAGCATGTAGGAGCGCCGGTCAGGCAGAGGCCGCTGATGATCCAACACCAGCCTGTCGGTCACAAGACACAATATGTCACCAATAATGATCACCACTAACTGCAGATTGCAAGGACACATGAGACATATGAAGAGTCTCCTCTCTGTGGTTATAAAAACGTGCTCTGTTGCATATTTACTTTATTGTTCTTCTTGAAGTTAGTTTTAAAGAAATAAATATATTTAATCAGCTTTGTTCTCACAGGGAACTTAACAATACATGTGCCGTCAGATATAAAATAGACTGTGACTGAATTTAATTAAAACCTCACAAAAAGAAAACAAAATATCTTTCTAACGATTTTGTATTGCTTTCTTTTCCAGCCACTCTCGATTTGTCTTCTCGCTCCTTCATTTCCTTTGTGCTTTTGCAAAGAGTAAATCAATCACATCCTCAAAAGTCTACACACGGATTGTTTAGAGTGAGAGTGAGAGTGAGAGTGAGAGTGTGTGTGTGTGTGTGTGTGTGTG